CAGGTGCCCCGCATCCAACTCGACCTGGAAACACCATACACACATGTTCACAGACATGATCACAGACATCACAAACATACACATACATGTTCACAGACATCACAAACTGTTGATCAGCCATTGTTGGTCAGCTGAGGTGAAAGCAAAAGCGTTTCCCACTTTTCCCCATATTTTCTTCAAACAAGGAGAGGACACACACACACACACACACACACATACACAGCCGCACCCCTTCCTCCACCCCATGTTCACGACTTGACACGGGTGCTCGCCTCATCTGCGCATGCATGTACGTGTGCATAGTTCGCAGTGGTGAGAAGATATGGGACTCCGGAAAACAAAAAAGAACAATAACAGCACACACACACACACACACAACACACACATACACACGCGCATGGGCGTCTTGATGTACATCAGGGCACAATCAGCGTTCGTGGGGCCACCGCCACACCTTGGCCATCATCGCACTCCTTCCGATTGCAGCGTCGCGCATGACCCCAGCCCATTCGCACTGCACACACATACACACACGCACATGTTCACGTCTTGGTGTGAGCACGCCAGGTGGTGTGGCGCACTCTGAGTTTGAAACGCTCCTGTGTGGCTGTTGCTCACGCTCCGAAGCATCAGCGGCAACCACACACGCACATACACACACACAAGCTGCATGCCGCTGCACGCGCTGTGATCACTCACAGTGGCTGCCGAGGGGGTGTTGGCGCGGAAAGTCAGCCGCGCTGCGCTGTTGTTGTTCTTCTGCACCACCACCGCCCACGATGTCCGTCACACAAAACATGGTGTTGTCAGTGACAGCCAGGTGCGAGGCGTTTGCGCATCTGCTTGTCCCTGCTGTGAATCAACCCGCCAAACGACACAGCACACACGCAGTGTGAGTGTAGGCGACCGAGACAGGCGTGGGATCAAACGCACACACACACACACACACACACAGGCACAGGCACATATGTTGTGAGAACCCAAATTCACATTGCATGCGTGCTTGCACAGAAGTCAAACAAAGCCACGCAGTGCACGCACGTGTTGAATCAGCAGGAAGAGATGTGAGAGGAAGAGGGGAGCAATAAGCGATCAAAGGGCGGGAACAAGTGCGTCACAAGCTCACAGCAGAGGTGCATGCACCCGCGCTCAATACACGCGCGCGTGCACTGTCACCACACGCGCCCACGTCATGCATGAACGCACGAATGCATACGTGGAGCATATGACAGCGCAGCAGCGATGCTCACCCCGCCTTTGGCGCGTGTGTCGAGCAGGGTGTCAATGCTCCTGTCCTCATGCATTTGTGCCTGTTTGTATTCGCCATCCACCACCTTCAATCGTCTGCACCACATATGAGCGCGCGCAACAATGGACAACAACAACAACAACAATGATGATGATGATGATGATGATGATGATGATGATGATGATGATGATGATGATGATGATGATGATGATGATGATGATGATGATGTGAAGTGGATCAAGTTTGTTTTTTGAGAAAGGGAGGTACAGCAAGTGAGTGAGTGTGTGTGTGTGTGAGAGAGAGAGAGAGAGGAGAATCACATGTTAACAGCAGCAGCAGCAAGCAGCAGCACAAGCAGCAGCAGCAGCAGCAGCAGCAGTTGAGATGAGAACGAGCAACAAAAGAACAAAGGCGGTTTCCCGCCAAAACCAACACTGCAGCATTGTGGGAATGCTCACCTGCACACGGTGTGTCTGTGTGTTTGTGTCTTTGTGTTGCAACAGACGATCTCAACGACGCCTTCGTCGGCGGTAGTGGCGAGTGGCTTGGCAACCCAACAGCCAGTCAGCCAGCAGTCAGCCAGCAGCCAGCCAGCAGTTAGCCAGCAGTCAGTCAACCAGCAGCCAGTGGGGTGCCCTGCTGGCTTGAGATCAGCAACGTTTCTTTTCTTCCAACCACATCCAACCATCCAACAACCGTTTTGCGCTGCAGTCCTGCCTGGTTGTTCTTCGACAGCATAAAGTGTGTTATGTTGAGCTGGCGTTTTGTTTTGTTTTGTTTTTTTGCTGCCACACACGAGCAAGCAAGCACAAGAAGAAGACGCAGAGGCGAAGATTCTCCGCCAATTGTCTGCCTTCCACCCCTCCCCCCTCACCGCCAGCACCCACCAACCAGCACCACCAAGCAGCACCACCTTGCAGTGCCACCACCAACCCAACAGCACCTTGCAGTGCCACCAGCCAGCCAGTACAGTACCCCGTGCCCAAACAACAAAAAGACAAAAGGAAGGACAACAAGCAAGAAGAAGGACGAGCAATGGATGTGTTTGAGCTGTCGCCGCTGCTTGGTTGCTTGCAATCCTCGTTTCTCTCCACGTGACACATGATTCTCGAGCACAGCTGTCCGCCTTTTGCCGCTGGCACTGTGACTCAGCATGAGCGAGCGGGGAAAGATTGCTTCGGGGACTGCGCCAGTGCATCCCATGGCGGTGGATGTGTCATTGCTGGCCGATGTGTCATCTGCGTCTTGACCATTCCCCTTTCCCTGTGGCTCTCGCTGTGGTCTGAGTGCATCCATCCATGCGGATGACTCGCATTTCTCGCTTCCATCTTGCAGCTTGTGCTTCCTGTCGCCCATTATGAGCTCGTCGTATCATCGCCAGAAGGGCAATGAGGTGTTCAAGCGCCTTGTTGGGGACGTGTCTCGGAATGTGTTGCTGGACCGCTTCGAAGAGTGCGTTCGGTAAGTTTTGTGTGTGTGTGTGTGTGTGTGTGTGTGTGTGTGTGTGTGCATGTCCGTGCGTTTTGACTGTCCATGCACTCGCGGTAACACGGGCAATGGCTTGATTGAGCGTGGCTCGGTCACCGGTTTGCGTTTGACAACAACACAAGCATGATGGTGAGCACCTT